CGCGTCGCGAGAACAGTAAACAGTCTTTAATCTCAAAAAATGCGAAGGTATTTATCGGAATGACGTTAAAAATGGTATTCCAACTTACTATATTATTTACTAATCTGTCAATTTAGTATAAATTCTTATGTTTAGACATACTAATCAATTATAATAATACTATGTATAACAATAATACCATTAATTACTATTTATAACTGGGAATAAGCCACAATTAAGATAAAAATACGTTTATTGACGTTTCAATTTCCAATTCGGAAATCGTTCTCAAAATACAAACAGTAAATTAAACAAATTTTGTTTTTTGTTACATAGTGAAAAATTCTTCTAATAATTTAATTTTATCTGACCATTTATATTGACAATTCAGACATACATTATGCATTTTAAAGTAGACGACTTTAAAATGATATTGCCAATATTGTTGAGTTGCGCTCCTGGGACGACTTTACTTATAAGATAGTTCATTCGATTACATGAAATCAACTTTAACTTGAGAATATCCGTCAGAAAAAAATCATAGCATGTAATTCGTCTTTAAAAAGACAAACACATGACATGATGACAGTTAAAATTCTCCTGTTAGTGATTCCATAGTAAATTATGAGGGAAAAACCAGAAAAAAAACCTCATAATACTATCCCGACATTGTAAGTATTTGTTCGTGAATTTAGTTTACCTTCAACAAACATCAAAATTCTGATTTTATATGTTACGTTATTTAAAAAACATAAATGATGTATCCGCTATATGTTACTGACTTACTAATACTGGTATTTTCTTATTAATAACTTCCTCTTTCAATATTGGTAACCAGATCCTACTACATTCTGCCGAGGAATTTGCGACACAATTGGCCTCATTTAGCATAATTAGAGCCGCTTCTTTAATTTTTCTTTTTTTGCCATCCGTTTCTTTTAGGACTACATTTGAATTATTCCATTGAACCCTATGTTCATTATCCCATGCGTGTTTACATATTTGAGATCTATCAAATTCTCTATTTTTAATATAAGATTGATGTTCACTTATTCTAACATTTAATGGCCTTGATGATTCACCTAAATAAAACTGATCGCATTCACAAGGTATTTTATAAATGCAATTCTTTGTCCTTTCTTGTTCATTGTTAGGTTTGGTTTTGGACAAAATAGATCTCAACGTGTTTGTTGTTTTGAATGTTGTTGAAATGTTGAATTTATTTCTCTATCTTTTAAGTTTTTCTGATAATCCTTTTATGTACGGTATTGTTATTATATGAGGAAAATAATAAATACTGCATACACATAGGAATGATATTATTCTTGTGTTATGCGTAGGATCTCGTTCTATGTTGTTCTGTTCTATTCGATTCGATTGTTGAAAATTCCTTATTTATTATTTATTCTTAGTCCCAGGAGCGCAACTCAACAATATTGGCAATATCATTTTAAAGTCGTACTATTTAAAATGCATAATGTATGTCTGAATTGGCAATAATAAATGGGTCAGATAACATTAAATTATTAGATAGAATTTTTTCACTATGTAACAAAAAACAAAATTTGTTTAATTTACTGTTGTATTTTGAGAACGATTTCCGAATTGGAAATTGAAACGTCAATAAACGTATTTTTATCTTTAATTGTGGCTTATTCCCAGTTATAAATAGTAATTAATTTACAATGCCACAAGAGAAATAGCTTCAGAACAATAATAATACCATTACAAGAAAATATTTATTTATTCATCAAAACTAACCATTTATTGTACACTGTATAAACCATTCTTCAGTAATTTTTTCAACGGTCGCTTTATTATTTTAATAATAGCTCTGTTATATAAATAAACGATTGTTATTCTAACGGTGCTCACCATGGAATAGAATTAAAAATTAAATCTTAAAGAATTGCTACGAGGAGAGAAAGTTGGATCGTTATTGTAGCCGAATCGTAGAATGCGTACGGAGATTTTATTTATGTAAGATCGTGAGATGTTGTTGAGTTCGTAGTCGAACAGAATCAAATGCATTGTTTCGATAGAACAATTGGGTACTGAAACGAACTAACCGGAGAAAATTTGTGTCATTCGACAGAGATATGCTAGAAAAGGAATCTAGGTGAACTACTTGAGTTTACATCTCTTATAAGAACAAGTGTACTAAAAATAAGACTTTTACCGTTGATCTAAACAGTTGATTTGCGATGCTGCTCAATTGAGGCGGGTGGGTTAGATAAGGGCCTATAGACCTATGAGCCCTTCTTCTTATGTTGTTCTCTGTCAGTATATCTACTAATTTTTTCTATATTACGGTTTTTTATGTGGATTAAAACACTTTTTTTAGTGCAGTTTTGGCACAGCTGAGAAAGATGTGTGCCTCTTAATCAACTCTGTTTTGGTGAATTTCTGACATAAGATAAGACAATCATGTGATTGAGGCTATGTTATATTTTAAACTGTAAGTTTAAGTGTTTTTTAAAACAATGGCTAGTCGTAAAGCTATTTAAGATCATGCGTTGTCAAAAGGTGCCAAACAGAAAATTGTTCAGAAAAAACATTGGAAAGAAAACGTGGCAAAATCTAAGAGACAGAGTGGACAGGAGTATGTGTCAAAATTTACGGGAATAACTTTACAGAGTAAGGTATTTTCTATTGTCCGCAAGTGTTTTGTAGAAAAATGTTTTGCAAAAATAACTTCGCAAACGTCCTTTTTTCTTCTTGTCTAGATTTTCATAGTCTTCCAGATTTGATCTGGTTCTGCGATGCTATATTTTTCTGTTGACTAATGGATCTACATTATTCGTCAAACCAATCTTCATTTATTTTAGCCTTGTTAGGTTTTTTAACGATTAAGAAGATGAAAATACCAACACAAAAAGTGCATATCCGAACTACTTCGAAGAAGGTAAATTTTAGAAAAGCGCATTCACAAGTATATATAATTTTTGTCGAAAATAATCACCTACAATGAATTTCTATCGATTCGCATTCATTATTTTGTATATTACTTCCATTCACGCATAAATCTCATTATCTATATGTTTCCAGCTCGACGTTAGTCACGATTCTCCTTCGTAGGTTGATGTTTTACCATAAAACCCATTTCCTGGACTATTATTCAACATTCCGTTGTTTGCTAGTTGGCCGATGCGCTGGTGTGTCTCTTCATGTTCGAACGATATTCGAGGCGGCCGAGAAACTGCGGGGTTACGCTTCTGACCGACCGTTTACATCTTTTCTGAGCATCAGCGCCGACGACGATATAAAGATAGGTTTAGGTGGACGAATATGCGGCGCATGATTGGGTCTAGCGGTTTTATGTAACTGGTTGAAAATGGCAGTATCGTCGAGATGTATGACAACAAAGATATATTATTGGCAGGCTTGAGAATTTTTTTAAATAAAAGTCTGTTTAGAGAACTTTACGCAAAAAGTTCAGCCACTCTCAAAAGTGACTTATTTGTTATGAAAGTTCCAAGTTGTACTTGAAAGCTGATTTGTATCCTTCTAGCCTTAGGAGCCTTCTAGGAGAAAGACAGAAAAAATTAAGTGGAGTGATAGTAGACGTGCTAATATATACTCTGACCACTACCTTGTAAGAACAAAACTCAGGGCTTGTATATCAAACGCTAAGAAGGGCCTTCTTCTTACGGTGCCTTATCCTTAAGGACGTTGGCCATTACATTTGCCCATTTAATCTTATTTGTAGCAGCCCTGAATAGTTCTATGAAGGTCATGTTCGTCCCATTGCTGTAGGTTTTTAAGCCAAGAGTTGCGTCTTCTTCCTGGTTCTCTTTTGGCTATTGACTTTGCCTTCGATTATAAGCTGGAGCAGTTTCATACTTTTGATTTCTTATGATGTGGACCAAAATATTGTGTATTCCGTTCTTTTAATTATAAGCATAAGCTCTCTTTCCTTATTCATCCTCCGCAAGATTTTCGCATTTTGTCGTATGGCTCATGTAGGATATTCTGAGCATTTAACGGTAACACCAGAGTTCGAATGCTTTGATTCTTTTTTGTGTTGCTTCTGTCCATTGTCCAGGCTTCAACACTATAGAGCAAGGTGGAAAAAAACATAGCCACTTAAGTATTCTAGTTTCTCAATGGAGATTACCCAGCTGGCGGTTGCATAGAACTTTTTATTTTGTAAAACATTGTACCTGCCTTTTCAGGCGGATTTTCTTATCTCTAGTGAGTGGTCCCAAGTTTCATCAAGACTATTTCCAAGGTACGTTGTTCTTGTTACTCTTTTCAGATCTGTTCCGTTGACATTGGACCATTACCCTTCTGTATTTGGTGCTTGCTGATGACCATCGTTTTATTGTCTTCTTTGTATTCAATTTACATTTCAAATTCTCTACAGGCTGTCGTTACTCGGTCCATTAAAAGTTGCAGGGCTTCAGCATTATCTGCCAGTATGACAGTATTATCAGCATAATCGCAGGTAAGAAGGGCCAGAGAACAAAATCTACGAAATATAATATCTGATGTGCTAAAATCTGTAGATGCCAGAGGGTAAACTACAGGAAAATTTTAAATGAAGAGCTGATAAGAATCGACGAAAATTTAAGTATAGAAGAAGACTGGCTTTTTAAAACCTAACCAGGCTAAAATAAACAAAAATTGGTTTAACGAAGAATGTAGATCCATTAAACCAACAGAAAATATAAGGATATAATAGACTTCAGCAACGCAGAATGAGATCAAACCTGCAAGACTATGGAAATCTTAGACGAGACGAAAAAATGACGTTTAGAAGGAAAAAGAAAAGAGCCATACGACAAACGTTCTAAACGAGATTGTTAACCACCACAATAGAAAAGACTCGCGAAAATTCTTACCAGAAGATAAACAGCTGCAGAAAAGAATTCAAACCCAGAATAATCAGCATGTAAAGGACAGATATGGTTCCATAATTAGTGACAAAGAACAGATACTAAAACAGGTGGGCAAGATAATTTGGAAGAACTGCTTAGTGACAGTCGTGAAGAAGACTAATAGAAATTACTTTGCCTGAAATGGATGAAAACGCTCAAGAGCCGCCCTCACCAAAGAAGAAATTAGAACGGCCTTCGATGGATATGACATGTAATTAGGCGAGTTGAAGATGCAACGAATAGAAACATTTTTGACCGAAGAGACCAGTGGGAACTGACGAGTCAGAGAAAGATCCAAAACTTAGGTTCCAAGATTAACAGAGAGGATGATCTAAAATCCATCGGAGTTAAAGCATGGAGAAGAGTTGCCAGAGCACAGGGGCGAATGGAGATTATTCATGAGAAGGCTTTGGCTCAATTAACGAGCTGTAATGCCACTGATATAATAATAAGTATATATAATAATTGATTGGATCATCCGTCGTATGGTGACGGGCAAAATCACTGGTTTACAGATAAAATTTGTTATATTCTTCTAAAAACATCACAAGTCCGCTCTCTTTTGTCAAAGAAAGTTACATGTCCATAACATGTGATGTTTTTCAGATAAAATAGTTTGACTGCTTAGGTGAAATATGTAGTGATTCTTGATCGGGTTAGTTCATATCTGTTTCTTGGGTAGATATTTTTTACTGACAAAATAACCATCTAATTTACTGCACGTGTTCCCTTGTGTGTAAATTAAAGTAATTATCCAAGTTTCTCGAGTACTGGGAAACAATGAAAGTAGAAAATAATGCAGAAGTGACTATTGTAAATAAAAATGAACCAAGTACACATCCGAAACTTGCCGTAAAATTTTCAAAACCATTCAAAATGACAAGCATGACAGTTCTTTATCAGTCTGATGAAGTAATCACTTAAACAGAGTAACCAAAGGAAAAAAAGTAACAATTAATTACTAGCTAAAAACATTCTAGCAGCTTACAAAACCGATTTTAGCAATTAAATGTTTTTCGATGCACTAAGTCCTGAGAAATAACTGAAAACGAATAATTTCCTCAAACAACCGTTCTTTGTACTATTAAACAACTTGTATTCCACATGCATTTTACTTTAAGTACGTCAAATAATTTGTCGTCTTCTCGTTAACTAGATCTATGCAAGAGATCACCGTTGTCCGACTTCTGAAAGTAACGAATGCATATCTTAAGGGCTAGGCGCAAAATTTCGGGCCAATGCTTTTTAAATGCAATCATTTTTTTCGAATCCTGAGAAAACTAATAAATATTTTTGAAAAATTTAAACGCAGAATGAAAAGATTACATCATTACCGAGGGCCGAAAGTCCCTGAAAACTTCTATAATGTTTATTTTAATTAGTTACAGGGGTGAAAAACAAGAGAAAATTTAGTTGTGATTTTTAATCTCATATATCTCATTCAAAAAAACTTTTTGTTTATTCTAAGGGACTTTCGGCCCTCGGTAATAATGTAATCTTTCATTCTGCGTTTAAATTTTTCAAAAATATGTTTTAGTTTTTTCAGGATTCGAAAAAAATGAACACTATGTCCGCGGTAATATTTTCCAAATCGAACATTCCCTATCTTTGTCATACAACGCACTCAGTCGAACTGAAAGTGGTGGCAAAGCTACTAAATGTTTGACACGGCTTCAGGAATATTTTGTGTTGCTTATTAAATAATATTAATAGTTTATTTGATAAAATAATTAATTTAAGATGTGAAATTAATAATAAATGATTTATTATTTATATTTATGGAAGATCTAAGTATCAGATGAAAGTCATTAAAGTTCAAATAAAAGTATTATTTTATAAGAGTTTGTTTTCATAATCGTAAATGCGAGTTTAGGAATAAACTAAAGTGCCCTGGTGTAGATATGAAAAGCTACGAAGGTGGCGCATGACAATATCTTGAGTGAATTATTAAATTTTGACATCATAAATAATGATTGCTTTTCATGAAGAGGTATAACGCTTTTTTTTCATTTTACACATCTACATATTTTTTTGTTTATTTTTTTTAGAGTTTAAGGATTAAAACACTTTTCAATGTTGTAGCTTTCAGTTCAATTTACCATTATTGTTTATTTACAATATTTATCTTGGGACTATATCAATGGTACTTTTAAGACTTAAAACTTAAATTGTTTGTCTATTGATATAGAAGAAAGTGGTTACATAGGCCTCTGGAAAATACATAGTATAATAACTAGGTACCTACATTCAAAGTAAAATAAAAACTATTAATTAAAAGATATTAAGTATGTTATGTGTAATAAATATTCTCTGCAATAAGATCCTATTAATCATAATTAATAACTTATCATTATTGAATTATTTCAAAAGTGTGTTTCCTGGAGTGTTTTATATGCTTTTTTACCCTAAGAAATTACATATAAATGAGTGTTTACAAGAGGTAAAAAACATCTGGGCTTGAAATTTTTGGGTGTCGATGCCCTACTATTATATCTATGTCGATGCAGTTCTAGGAAAACGTGTCTGTCGACTCTCAAAACAGATGTATTATCGAAAGTGTTCGAAATAAATTTGCAATGGAATTGTAAAGGCAATTTTAAAATTATTTTGAAATATACGAGGGGTCTCATAAAGTGGACGTATCAAACGTTGTTTGTTTTTATGGAACTCCCGTATTTTATTGCATTTTTTATACCTTAATATTGTAATTTCGGAGATATTTCGATTTTCCTTAAATTGTAGGGCATTATAAAAATAATAACTCCTAAACCAATGAATTTAGCCAAACAATATTTATTTTAATTGTAGGGAAAGCGTAATAATAGAGAATACCGACGTATTTAAAGTTATATGCAAATACACAGGGTGTCAATTATTTATAATTATTATTTTATTATTTGTTATATCACAATTATTTCACAATTAAATTTTGTTTTTTTTAGTTATATTAAATTTTTTAATATTTTTTTCCTTATTATTATTAGTTGTTTACCTTGGACAGCAATTAAATTGTAACGCAGAAAGTCACGACGAAATTAGATCTAGGATAGAGCAGGCTAGAGCTTTAGAAGGATGTCCAAGGTGTTATGTAACAGAGACCTAAAATTGACTTTGAGGAACCGCCTACTTCGCTGCTACGTGGTCTCGGTCTTACTTTATGATGTCGAGTCCTGGACTGTAAATAAAATCGATCTAAATCGCCTTGAGGGTTTCGAAATGTGGTGCTATAGAAGAATTTTAAAAGTTTCCTGGGTGGAGAAGATTCGAAACTCCACAATACTAGAATGTCTCAGCAAGACCACTGAGATCATAAAAAGCACCAAACAGAGAAAACTGGAGTATTTTGGACATGTAATGAGAGGTCCCAAATATAGGTTGCTACAAAATATCATTCAAGAAAAAATAGCAGGCAAAACGCAGTCAGGACGAAGAAGAACCTCATGGTTAAAGAACTTGCGAGATTGGTATGGTGTTGATACAAGCATGCTATTTAGGGTGGTAGTGAATACAATTAAGATAGCTATAATGGTAACCAACGTTTCGAAAGAACATGGTACATGAAGAAGAAGAATATTTTTTCCTTAATTAGAACACTTTGTATATGAACGTATGACTATACTTTAACTATATTATCGTTTCAACAATATATAGGATATCTTAAGCACAGAATAATAAACAATCAGAATGCCCACTCTGCTTAAAAAAAGAAGTACGCGCATCTCCTTCGCGCAGAAGGAATCAGCCATGTTTTAGTCGGAACCGGTGCTGTTCAGTGACACATGGTGTGCATAGACAAATTAACCCGGTTTAATTTATTTACTGCAACTACAGACATAATATGCACTTTCACATTTTATTCGTACTTTTAGTTGAAGAGTAGATTAAATTATTTCAGAGTTTATTAATAGACTAAATTATTAATAATTTTGTGAAGGGCTTGTTGATATTGACCTTTAGAATTGTACGACATACTTCATAGTAACCATACCATACTTGGTGGACCATACTTCAAGGTAAAGTGCATGGGAAAAGAGGTCCAGGACGGAGAAGAATATCCTGGCTGCATAACCTGCGGAAATGGTTTAACTTAACCACTACCGGACTTTTCAGGGCAGCAGTCAACAAAGTCAGAATAGCCATGTTAGTGTCCAACATCCGTAACGGATAGGCACCATAAGAAGAAGAAGACAAACCAGCAGCGTGGCATCTCATGTCATAGGACCCCCGAGAGCTATAATTTATTGTTTTACCTCCTAGAAACTTTGCTATTACATTACTATATTGTTTAGCATAATTGTTACTCATATTTTTTAAAAGACTATTTGCATGGAATTTTAATCTTGCTGCATATTAGATGTATCGTTTTTCAAAAACTTTATTCTTAAGTCACTTGGTTTATCTGACTGTTGATGGTATTCAGTTGCTTTTGTAACAGCAGTTCTTAATCTTAATATGTTATTTTTTAAAAGCTTTCGTAAGAAAATTGGTACTAGTTTTCCATCGAAACTATATCGTTTTGTTGATAACATCTAGAATTATTTGTCTTTCCATTGTAGTCGAAGCTTTTGTCCAATTTTTATAACATACGTGTTCTTTATCTTCTCCGTATAATTAACGTTACTCCAAGATACAGAATCTTTTGGGTTCTGTAACCAATAATGGCTGCAGCTCCAGAATTGGCGTTATAATTTGTTTTATATGATTTCTTTGACCAAGAGCAGTCCGCAACAACAGTTATAAAACGATAGCCATCTTTATTAATATCTCCATGCTCTTTTGCTAATTTGATTTCTTCTTGTCCAGCCTCAAGCATTGATGTCCAAAAACTTTCATGGTATAAGTCAATTAGATCATTTTGAATTAATAAATAATATTTTTTGATAGTAGTGGGATATTTAGACTGGACGGTAATTCAGTTAGTTGTGGTTATCCTCCACCAATACTAACTATTCCAGTTATTGCTGCAGAATTGACGTTGAGGGATAGTTGTTTAAATTTTTCAGTTTCTACTTCATGTTTTATGCGACACATTGGGCAAAAGAGAGTAAATTTAGAATAACATCCTTTTCGCTTTTCACTAGTTACTGTAATATCTTCCGAAGCAATTGAACAATCTGTGGTGAGGGAATTGCAGTATTTGCCTAATAAAATATTGCACATCTACAATTCTTCTTCCTTGTAATATGAAATCTGAAGTAGTTTGTCTAAAAG